CCAAATGTACAATGGATGTCAACAAAGTGAAAATGCTGCATTTAAACCAAGTTTATTCAGAGAGACAGGTCTAAAATAATTTATTCATAATTTCTTCAAAATAAGAATGCTATCAGAAATAAATTACACATACCATAAAATCGCACCCATCTCAAATTAAAATTTAGAAGACCCGAGTTGATTAGTTAATATTAAAAAAATGCAAGTTTTGTTAATAAAGACATGCTGTTTTTTAAAAACAAAATGATGTGAAGGTTTTGTGTTTTGGTTTTTTGGTGTTTTGTTTTGTTTTGTTTTATTTGAGAAGGAGTCTCACTCTGTTGCCAGGCTGGAGTGCAGTGGCGCGATCTCAGCTCACTGCAACCTCTGCTTCCTGAGTTCAAGCGATTTTCTTCCTCAGCCTCCCAATTAGCTGGGATTACAGGTGCACGACACCATGCCCAGCTAATTTTTGTATTTTTTTTAGTAAAGTCCTGGTTTCACCATGTTGACCAGATGGTCTCGATCTACTGACCTCATAATCCACCCATCTCGGCCTCCCAAAATGCTGGGATTACAGGCGTGAGCCACCACACCCAGCAGATTCGTAGGTTTCGTTAACAGAGACAGGAAATGTTTATTTTTAAAAAAAAAAAGGTGAGTTTTAACTACTGTTTATCAGCTATGCAACTATTCTTTTATGAATGTGATGTAGCTAATCTCTAAGTGGAATATGTGGTTTTCTAGCAAGTTTGGCATATGAAGATGTTGAAAAAGACATTGTAGAGTGTTATCACTAATAATACTCTAAAGCTTTCTTGAAGATAGCCATCATCTCCACACACCTATAGGTTCTAACTTCAATTAAAGATGCCACTGTTTTTAGTCCTACTTTACTTTTTTTATTTTCCCAGCATTAAATAGGTTTTGTATTTTGGTTATTCTAATGGCTAGAGCTCATCGCTGATCTTTTGGCTAAGAAAGTAAAGCTCCATGAAAATAAGTGAGAAACATTTTGAAAGAACTAAAGGAAAGATTGCTATAGATGGTCAGGGAGTACATTCTATTTGATTCACTGTATTCTAAAATGGTAGTCCCCAAGCTTGATCTACTTAATGCACTACAACTATCTATTCTAAGAACTAAGGCTCATATTTCTGTCAAGTTTTTCATAGTGAAAAATATTAAGATGATTCCCTGTAAATCATTGTTGCTTAACATTTAAAAACTCAACCGGGTGCAGTGGCTCACACCTAAATCCCAGCACTTCGGGAGGTTGAGGTGGGTGGATCAGGAGGTCAAGAGATTGAGACCATCCTGGCCAACACAGTGAAACCCTGTCTCTACTAAAAATACAAAAAAATTAGCTGGGTGTGGGGGCATGTGCCTGTAATCCCAGCTACCAAGGAGGCTGAAGTAGGAGAATCACTTGAACCAGGAGGTAGAGGTTGCAGTGAGCCAAGATCGTGCCATTGCACTCCAGCCTGGGTAACGAGAGCAAAACTCCATCTCAAAAACAAACAAACAAACAAACAAACAAACAAACAAAAAACCTCACACTCCCTTTTGAGAAACAAAAATCTTGAAGTTCTCCTTCAAAGCTATTTAAAATGTATAAATAAATGATCTATTGTAAACAATTAGTGAATGAAAATTTTTAAAAATTATATTTTTCTTTTGATCTTGGAAGATACTTTACATTGATGCTGTTACTCTGATCATGAGAAGTCAGCATGACAATTAAAGTTGTCTATCCTTGAAAAACAACTTTTCTATCCTTGAAAAACAACAAAGAAAAGCATTATGTAATTTCATTATTGTTTGCTGTATTGCTTCATTTTCATAACCAGAAGAGCATGTAAAGATGATGCCAGATAGAGAGATAGATACTCTCCTTTTAAGGGAGGAGATGTTGTCCTCATCCCCTTGAATATTACTGACTTAGATCATTCTCAAAGAAATGTATAATGAAAACCACATGATTTGAAAAACTTCTCAAAATTTCCTTTAATCAGTTTAAACAAATTACTGCCAATTCTGTTTCACTTAGTTCTGCATAAGGCTATTTAAAGACTTCCAACACACAATCAGGACACCTAGGAGATAGAATTTACTCAAAATATTGCAACTCAAGAAACTCAGCTTGAAAATATATCATTTAAGGACACATACTGTATTGAAACCCAATTCACATCCTATGGGAATGACATCTATTATGATAGCTAATGTTTGGTGAAATTACACAGTCCACTGAAAAGGTCTAAAGTTCTAGCACCTAGATATTCCACTGGCCTATGGTATATCATTGATAGCATGATACTTCCAGGAAGTAAGATAGTGAGTACAACTCTGTGCCTTATATAAGAAAAGTTTTGCTGCAGTTACAGTGTGTGTGTTTGTGTGTGTGTGTGTGTGTATAGCCTCTATATATAACCTATGTGTATATAACCTATATATAATATATTATAATCCATATGTAATCCATAAAATTTCCTAAGCATTTTAAATTCTTCTTTTAATCTACAAGGTGGTGAAAATATATTAAAGATATAAATTAATACGAGTTGATTCAAGTGACAATTGTGCCTGAGACCGAAAGAGTACTTAAAATTTTTGCACCTACCCTAATGCCTTTTCTAGGTACATACTGATCTTTTCTAGGTATATACTGATCTAAAGTTTTGAAACATAAAGACTATATGCACCTTGAACAATAAAATTCAAGCACAGCATCATCATTTGGATTTATCTAAAAATAAATGTTTAAACTAAAATTATTTATTTAATGATCTCATTTCTGAAGCCTAAATATTATAATATATATGATTAGAATGTGCTCTATAGAGCTCTCTAATGAACGGTTTCTAACGCAACATGTTTTAAAAGTAATAACAAAATGGCCCATGGAAAAGATTCCTTAAGGCTTTGGAAAGAGAGATAGGACATGTTGCAAAACTGAGGTACATAATACAGAAGAGACTCATACAGCCTTCACCTGAACATTTAACTTGAGGTTATTAAAAACAGGACATTTCTTTCTATTAAAATCCCCGTGGCTACGAAAGACAATAATTTATTTTATACAGATTAGGTATGATATTTATATACCTAATAGTACTACTGGGCATTACTCACTATGAAATAAGAAAATGCAATAGATATTCAGTTAGCATTTTACTCGCTAATTATGATTCCATAATTTCTCTAGCTTTTTATTATCAGATGTCAAATACTTACCTAGAAACTGCCATTCATTTGGTTGCTAAGAGTTTTAAGATCAGCTGGAAGGATTTTTTTTCTGTCTTTCAGAGAATTGCCATCTTGGGTTCTGCCTCAAGGTATTAAAAGTTAACTTTGTTACCCATATGGGGATTTATAGTACTTCTACTGGAAGATACTCCGAGATTTCAGAAATGAATTAATTACTTTCGGTTTGCACAATTTAGAACAAATATCTGGCTTTTCCCTCAGTTTAGTGATTTTTCATTTCACACAACTAAAATATAATAGCTTTATTTTATAATCAAGTTTAACTGATGAGTCTTCATTAGAGCCATTTAGTATTTTTACCAAAATCTTATGAGAAATGAAGTCATTCAATTTGCAGCCCCAAACTGAAGCTCAAACACAACACTTTAAAAGTATTTTCTGCCTATATCTTTGACTGCCTCTTACCTTCAATAGTTAGAGGAACAGACTAAATGGTTTATCTGGTTGTTTCTATACTTTATAAGGAGTCAAAGGCAAATTTCAGTTATAAATATGCACATCACAATGATCATCAGTTTATCACAAATAAATATTGATTTGCTTAATCAAAGAGAATACTCTTCGGGAATAAGAGCAGTATTTCAATCAGCAAACATGTTTCTTCATGACACTGAGCATCTAGCCTGTCTTCACACACACATTTCATAACCTTTCAAGGACAATCTTCTAAATCACATTTTAAGGAAATACAATGAAAAGGTATTCCATTTTGCAGTAGCATTTTACATTACTACAAATTGATGAGGTTCAACCTTCAATGCCCATGTACCTTTCACAAAACTATTGATCATTTCCTATCAATGCTTTGCTGGATTATATCACAAAGGAACACATAATGCATGTATGTGCATCAATGCATTAAGGAGATGATGCATTTCTTTGTATACTATGTGAACTGACAATGCTCACTCACCCAGCCCTTGCCTTACTCAACTTCTAACACATCGTCAGTCAGCTGCCCTGTTCATGATTCCTTGCACCTTATGTGCTGCTTTATCATTGAGTGAGATTACTACCATTTCTGGTCCAGAATTCATTAAGAAAATTCCTTTTTCAAGCATGGTCTTTGAAATGTAGTTGTACACCTATCTGGAGCTCATCTTCAGATAGAGCTGAATTTATCCTCTGTCTTTAGGCTTTTACTTACAGAGCCACACCTTTATAAACAAGTTCTGTCTGTCATACTGAGAGGAAGAAGATATGCAAAATGTAACATCAGGAGTCATAAAGCCTCAAATAACATTTCAGAAAGAGAGGAAAACTAGTTCTGGTTAGGGAGAAGATAAAAGAGGAAAAGGGGCAAATTTATATCATTAAAACAAGAGTCATAGAAAACCCTACTGGGTTTTTCCAGTAAGTTTTGTGCAGCAGCAGCAACAACCTAATCAATATGCGCTTCCTCACCCCTCTGTCCCCAAAGAGAAATTGCTGGGCCCCTCTCCACCACCTCCCTAGGGGCAGAAACTACTGCCCCCAAGGAAGGGAGAATTCAGAATCGTAGGGAGCAGCAAAAACATGTGTATGTGATTCTAGCATCTTCATCTTTGTACCAGCTACCAGCCTGAAAGTACATTCAGGAATCAGGCTCCTAGACATTCCCCAGCCCTGGGCCCTACCAGAGGTGCCAGAGAACTTGAGGAGCCTGCAGCACAGTACTCAGACCTGAAAAAATGACCTCCCCCTGCCCAAAATCCAGGCAGCGCCGAGGCCCTAACCTCTCAGCCAGACCTTGGGGTAGGACAAGAGATGCTGCCTGATGGCCAGGAGAAGACAGGCCAGGCTTCTCTGCCAGAATGAGTTGTTGAGGGTGGGGTGGAGGTGGTCATGGAGATGGGCTCTTCATTTTTAAAACAAAAACAAGAAAACAAGGCAAAGAGGACCCCCAACAGCAGTTACCCTTACTCCCCACCAGTGCCTCTATGCCTTAAGGACTTCTTCGGAGGCCGGCGGCGGCTTGCGATCATCAGGATTGGGAGTGGGAGCGAGTGCCCGGGGCCAACCTCAGCGTCTCTCAGGGACAGCACAGGTGGGCGCAGCTTTGGAAGGTCAGCGAGGCCAGAGCTCAGAGTTCCACGGGGGGCCCGGAGAGTGTGCGTGTGTGAGTGTGAATGCGAACACGCGCGCGCCGTGCGGAGGGGCGCTCAGCAAGAGGGTAGGCGCGGTGACAGGGGTACCCGAGCATCCGAGGAGAGACAGCACACCCCACCCTTTAAGCTAAAGAGCTAGAGGGGTGATGGAGGTTGCAAGACTGAGAAACTTGATGCAAAACAGACAGGCTCCCCTTTCCAAGACGTGCCGCCACGCTCTCAAACACGATCCCTTGCCTCCCGGATCACCCACCATCACCCACCCCACCCTGCAAAATTCCCCACCGAGCCCTAGGATCCCAGGCGGGTAATTACCTCTCCCGGAGGCGGAGTGGGGGGCGGCAGCAGCAGCAGACACTTTTAGCCTGACTTTCCTGCGTTCGCGTGTGAGCGTGTGCGCGCCCAGGAGGAGCTGTAACCTGCTATTTATAGACCGAAGCCTAAGCACCCGGGGCTGAGAACCCGGAGGAAACTGGCAGGCGGCGGCGACGGCGCAGGGCGCGGGCCGCGGCTTCGCGGGGCTCCAGCGGCTCCCCCGGCTCAGGCTTCAGCAGCTCTCCCTGCTCGCTCCTCGCCTGCCAGCCCCGCGCGCGCCCCAGAGAAGTTGTCACCAGCGCGGCTGCCTCTCCGGCTGCTCACACGCCCCCTGGCACAATTGCTACTTTTTTCCCCCCCAACCCCCACCCTCCCCTCTCCTCTTCCTCCTCCTCTGCTCTCTCCAAGCGGTCTCCTCCCAATGTCACCAGCGACCGAATAAAGGCGGCAGCGACAGTCGCGCAGCCGGCGCAGCTCGCTTCCCGCTACCGATAGAGCGGAGATGGTGGCCCAGCTGCCCACCCCCAAATTGCCATGCTGGCTCCGTGTGCCACCACCCCGCACCCCGACCCCTTTCTGCAGCTCCTCTGCCCGCAGGATAGGTCACCCAGACTGGGCTGTGGGATCACCGCTACCGTGACGAGGGGGGACCCAAGGCCGACACGCTACCGCGGGGGCAGGAGAAACCACAGAGAAAGAACCCAAGGGAGGAAAAAAGCACCCCAGACCCGGCCTATGGCAGCACAGTCCCCAGACCGAGCGTGTTTTGAAGGGGCTTAGGATCCACTGCCTGCGTCTAGGCATCCATTCACGCCCGTGGGACTCCCGTCTGCAAACGCGATGGGGCTCCTGTATCTTGCCCCTCCTGACCCTAGGCCCGGGCAGAGGGGAGACCAGCTCAGAGCAACCCACGGCCACCCACCGCCAGTCCCCACATCGGGGCGGGTGACTGAAGCTGAGATGCTCCCAATAAGCGTGTGATATGCCTTTGATAGCTCGGGTGCGTGGGGACAGAACCACTCTGAGCATGTTTGGGGTATCAGGAAAACGGGGTATGTAAGCAAGCAGTCTGGACAGAGACTAAAACTCCCCCACTTCCTCGCCAACAAGCCCACAGGGGAAAGCACGCACCCTGGTTATTCCAGGCTGTGTAGGGTGTGGGGAAAATGACTCTCCCCATCTGCGCCTTACAGGTGCCACCTGGCGGCTCTCTTGGAAAGGTTTTGATGGAGCTGTTCAAAGGTAAAGGTGCCCAGAGCCAGCCCATATAGACACTCCAGCCCTTCTCCTGAGGACGCTTTAAATCCACAATTTAAATAAAGCAGTGTTCAAACGCTTGTACACAATTGTTAGTTACATTTGCCATGCAAAAAGTCTGGAATCTCAAAGTCAGGATAGTGAAATCAATTTGGGTTAAGTCGGGGCTTAACAGTTTCACAATCCAGGAAGCTGTATGTACCCCCAGCTGTCACCCCTGCTGTCACTGCTTGCATCTAGGCATCCTTTCACTCTGCAAACATTTGACCACCACATTATAAGCCTTGCCAGCGAGGACAGGGACTTTGTTTTGGGTTTTTTATTTGGGGGGTTGTGTTTGTTCATTTCATTTATTTTTTCACCACTCTGCTCCAAGAGTTTGGGACAATACCTAACATTCTGTAGTTTCAATAAATATTTATAGAATCAATTAATCAGCACTATAGGTCAGAAACTGTGTTTGGTACCCCTGAAGCCCTTCCTTTTGCTTCTCTTCAGATTTGTTTCTGCTATGCTCAGCCTCTATCCCAAGTGAGCTGAATGCAGCGAGATAGAAGAGTGAGGCACAAATAGTCCCTGTCAAGATGTTGATCACCTTTGAGGAACCATCACACAGTTAGATTTCTCCCCCATGAGGCAGAACTGAACACACCCATCTCCAAGCAATGGGCAAGTCCTGTTCATGGAGATCTGCTGGAAAAGTGATACAACTTTCTCACTGGGCAAACAAGTTCCAATTTTTCTTACAATAGAGAGAGACTGAACTAATATCAGGACATTAGGATGTCAGAGCTTTGCTACTAAATTGAAAATATAGTTAACATATCTGTCCTCTAACTTTAAGTGGAAGAGCGCGTGTGTGTGTGTGTGTGTGTGTGTGTGTGTGTTTATGAAGACTACAGCAGCAATGACAGAAATACCAAACCATTCCTCCTAAAACACTGAATTGTAAAATAAATGCAGTTACTGGTTCTATGGAAATGAACATTTAAAGTGAGACACTCAGAAGACCCTATTATAATTAAAGTCCAGACATGAACCATGCTGACAAAGTCCTTGTACGGGGCAGCTGAGGAATATGTCACTTACTTGTGCATATCATATAGGAAGTTTGAATTCTGGGAAAAGAGAGAGAATATGAATCAGATGTATGTACCACAGGGCATTTAAAAAAATCTATCAATCATCCTGATTTTTTTAAAGTTATTTGGTGGCTTTTTCCTTGAATAAGGCTGGATGATTCAGATGCATCTATGGTTTAATAATCTCATTCAGCAATCACTTTTACAAACCTTGAACTTTTGGCCACTTGTGCCCCCAAAACATAACTCCATTTGCCAATGAAGGACAAAATATTTTTCATTTCCTTCTGAAATATCTTTGTAGGGCCAGAAGTCAAAGGTGATTCCTTGTAGTTACCTTGCCGTCTAAAACAATAAAATCAAGCCAGGATCTACAGGGTGGGTGTCACACTCTTCTTTGCAATGAGGCAGCTTACAGTCTCTCCATAGATTCATTGTTCCAGAAGATTTTTATCTCAGGTAAGATTAATATGACGTTGTATCTACACTTTTATGGTCCTTCACTATTCTAAATCTCTTCTGGAATATAGCACCACGTATCATGCAGTATTTTTTTAACGGTTGTTCAGTTATGTTAACAATAACTTGTAAAGTAAGTCCTTGTTTTATCCCAATTTTTAAATACTTAAAAATTGCAGAAACTTTGTTATGTATGCATTAGGCTCATCACTCTTGTGTATGATTGTGTGTGTATGTCTGTATTTAAATCAAGGGGGATGGTGTTAGAAATAAGAATTAAGTAAAAAGAATAAATTATTGTAAAGATATTGGCTGCCCCATGGAACCCCAAAACAAGAGCGCAACTGGGCACTAGGAAAGACTGGAAACAGAGACAGGCCATTAGATCTTTCTCTCTCTGTCTTTTCCCCCACTACAATAACTATTCCATTCTTTCTCTCTCCCTCTTTCTATCTCTCCCCACATACATTCTCTCTCTTTGCTTCTCTGGTGTGTACTAAATTGCATGGTTGCTAAAGACTCTTAAATTTTATAACTTGTGAGCCAGTTCCAAATTCTCCAAGTACTATGATTGTTCCAGCTACCAAACCCCAGCCAACCACCTTGGTCAGGGATAGTCATCAAGTGACATTTTCATAGCACCTACTGTAGTAATCAGGTAGATTGTAGAGGTTGGCTGAAGAAGAAAGAAAAGGATAAAAATTCCCAAAATGAGGGGAGGAATACAGGTTGTTCCTGACCACTACTATCTCCTATTCCTGGTTGTTTCATGAACACTGACACAAAAGGCAAAAAATGTAGGAAAAAGAAACATTTAAAAAAGTGATAAGGTCTATGGCATATGAATGCATATGCATGTTTGAATTTTGGATAAGATGGAATGCCTCTTACGGCTGGTAGTGATCGAAGATAGCTGCTCCCGGTATAAGTAGCAATATGATTTTTACAATCTCTCAGCATGGGACTGAGTGAGTATGAGGAAGAAATCAAGTTTTCACAGATAGTTTACTTTAGCTTCCTTTTTCATGGCAAATTAAATAAGAGATTTTTTAAATAAAACAAATGAGTGTGATACAATTTTACATTTATTGAAAATAAACATTCAGCTCTCTCACTTTGCATAGTAGTTATATTTGTAAAATTGTATGTAAATTATATATTTGAAAATGAATCATATTTCAAATATAATAGGATGGTGAATCTTAACATTTTTGTGGTCATAAATCCATTGGAGAATTTGAGGAGAGCTATGGACTCATTTCCCAGAAAAATATGGGCATGCATACACATATTTACGATGGGATGTTATATGCCTATTTATCTGAGATCTGGAACTTGACATTTCATGTTGCTTTGGCCTTCCCCCTTTCCTTTCTACTTGAATAAATGAAATAAAGATTTCAGATTCTTAAACAAAACATTCAAAACGCCCAGCATGTACAAGCCAAAAAATGGGTTGGGGTGAGGGACATATATGAACGCAGGGAACTAGCTCCCTCTTCCACCAGCTCTTGCTCTAATGAGACCTAAATAAGCTGTAGTAGGAAATGAAGACTGAACTCTTAGAAGAAGCGGGGAGTGCCGGGCATGGTGGCTCACCCCTGCAATCCCAGCACTTTGTGGGGCCAAAGGCGAGCGGATCACCTGAGGTTGGGAGTTTGAGACTAGCCTGACCAACATGGAGAAATCCCGTCTCTACTAAAAATACAAAATTAACCAGGCGTGGTGGCACATGCCTGTAATGCAGCTACTGGGGAGGCTAAGGCAGGAGAATTGCTTGAACCCAGGAGGCAGAGGTTGCAGTGAGCCGAGATCATGCCATTGCATGCCAGCTTGGGCAACAAGAGCAAAACTCCGTCTCAAAAAAAAAAAAAAAAAAAAGGAGGAGGAGAGAGAGTTATAATGTGGGGGATGCTGTATTTATCCACTAGAGCTTCTATAACCTATTACCAACAGGTTTGGTGGCTTAAACAATAGAAATGTATTTCTCACCGTTGTGGAGACTGGAAATCAAAGACTGAGGAATAGGCAGGTTTGGTTTCTGAGGCCTGTCTCCCTGGCTTGCAAATGTCGCTGTCTCGCTGTGTCCTCATGTGGTCTTTCCTGTGCGCATGTGCAGCCCAGGCGCCTGTGTGCATCTAAATTTCCTCCTTTTATAAGGACACCAGTCCGATTGGATTAGGGCCTGCCCTAATGGCCTCTTTTTAATCTAATTGTCTTTTAAAGGCCCTATCTCCAAATACAGTCACAATTTGAGATACTAGGTGCGAGGGTTTCCACATAGGAATTTGAGGTGGACAAGATTCAGCCCATAACAGATGTGCACTACAACAGTCTCCAGAAAGGGTCTGGGGGTGAAATTTGGATATAGATTTCTCCCTTATGTAAAGAGAACCCAAGAGGGAAAATACCTGTACTGTTTACCCCTTGGAGTATTTTGAAAAGCTCAGTCTTGATAGTACAATCGAGAAGGCAAGGGTGTAGAGTGGGAAGATAAATACTAGCATGCCTATCTAGATCCTAAAGGGCCAAGGATCCCTGGGCTTTCATTGCCTAAGAGACGATAAAGAGGTTC